TATTCTCATCATTATTATTACATCCAATATTATTCTTGAAAAATATTAACTGTTGATTTTTGTTTATTTTAAATAATAAATAAAAGGTAAGTATTTTTATTATATACTACCATTACCATTGTTTTTGTAAACATATTAACTGTTGATTGATTTTCATTTTATTTTAAATAGAAAATAGAGTAAATAGGCTGTATTTGCTTTTTGGCTCTTTGATAACTTCATTTATCTCTAACTTTTTTTTACTTCATCTTATATTTATCTTTATTTTTTATTGTTGGTTATAATTTTATGTTGCTTAAGATTCATGCAAACTATAATGTTTATATTATAACATAGAAAGTAAAAATAAATAAAACAGTTCATACACAATAAGTGTTTATTATAAAAGATTTATGTGTCAATTTAAAATGGGAATGATTAATAAAGTTACACCCAGTGTGTGAAATTGAGTGCGGGCGCGCGTGTTACATTAAAGGTAGCCAATAATCTATTAGCAGGATCGTGCAGAAAATTCGCGTAACAAATCAAAAAAAAAATTATATTAATAAATATTTACTTATTAACAAACATACTCTTCTTTTCTTCTTATTTATTATTCTAATTGTATAATGTGTTTCTAATAGAAAGGTTTATCTTCAATTGAAAAGATCCGCTTGCAGATTCTGTGGCTTATTACACTGTATTAAGATTATTTTTCATACTTGATCGGATGATAACTTGGAATTGGTGAATAAATATTGTATTTTTTATGTATATTTACTGCGTACTGTTGATCTTATTATTATATTCTTGATGATTTAACTTGAACAAAAATCAAACAAAAATCATTGTATTTTTTATATTTAACTGTTTTACATAACATTGTTTTTTATTAGATGCTATCTTATATTTTTAGATGATATCAAGCTTCAATTAAAGAGTTAGCAGATAAATATGAGGCGAAGACTACAATATTATTAATTGCTTTACATGTTCATACTATATACATGAAGTCAAAATGGTGAAATTATGTCATATCCAATGATCCAACTTTAATGAAATATGGCTTATTAGAATAGTATCGTAAAGGTAATATAATAGTGTTTTAATGTTCATAACGATATACAGTAAACAAAAATATCTCACTAACTAGTGATTCCAATTTTATGAATTAGACATCTCATTGAGAGAATTCGAATGGCAGTTTTTTTTTATCCAAAACAGCCAGATATTGACTGAGTATGGTAATTTCAGTTAATTTGATACGTTTTTTTTCATGGCAATAAAAAATTATTATTATTATTGCTTTATAATTTTTTCCGTAAAAATTCCGTATTAGTATTAGTATATATACTACTACTACACTCACCTGCCATAATAATAAGTATTGGCAATTTTGCCGGAAATAATTGAACAAAGTGAAATAAAAAATAACTCAAAATTTTATTATCACAATCACTTTTGTATATTAAGCAAAAATCAATATTCATAATGATTTCCATAAAATACCTGAGTTTTATAATGCTTTGTTTACAATTAATAATTTTATTAGCTTTAAAAGTCAAAGTAAAAAATTTTCAATTGATAATTTCCAAGTTTTAACATGTGTAGGTAACATAATAAAAAATGTGCGCCATGCTTTGAAATATATATATATATATATTTGGTTTAACGACGTAGTCTTGCCGTGACATTTTATTGGTTTGAATTTTTACATATGAAATTAAAAAAAAGAAAATTACATAATAATAAAATAAAACAATTTTAAATGCACAACTCCCCCCCGTAATACTAAAAGTATCCGTTTGAAGCGACTTGGCGTACACAATCTCCACGTGACCTCTTTTCTTCAAAAAAAAAAGAAAATTAAGCTGAAGCACCCCATTTCATTGACCATGCAAGACATCTTGTCAAGAAACGTCGAAAAACCCACCATTATTTCTTGAAATTTGTGTTGTTACCTGTTATCTTTTTATTGATAACAATAAATATTATTTTTGTTGTTGAACCTTTTATTAGAGAAATAAAAGTTTTTGTTTCGTTTTTTTTACAAAAAACTGACTTCTTCAACACCTCCACTCCCCTCCCCACAACTATTCTTGAAGTTGGAAGTTTGTCTTTTTTAATACTTATACTATGTATATTGTTTTAATGTTCTCTAGAAAAAAATTGACTCAAAAGAAATTTTTTTTTGGCTGCGCCCCGGTGGGAAAAGATTTTTTTTTTTTTAAATATATATATATATATATATTGTTCGAATAGTACGTAATATAAACATTATCAAAATTGTTTTTAGATCTTCACGTTGTTTTTCACAAAAAATCATATATTTAAATCAGATGACTAAAATTAGAGAATTATCTGTACCAAATTGACATAGAGACATTGGCAAATTTAGTTGATAGTATGCCTAGGAGAATAGATGCTGTAAAAAAATCTAAAGGCTATCCAACTAATTATTAATAATACTAAATATCCAATTATATAAAATAGATTAACAAGTTAAGTATTAGCAAAAACAATTATTTTGCAGTTCTTATTTTTTTATTTCTCAATAAAATATATATTTCAAAACATGATACACATTTTTTATTATGCTGTTAAGATGTGTTAAAACTTGACAATTGGGTTTAATTATTGAATGAAAAAATGATATAAATATTTTACGTTTAATTTAAAATTTCAATAGTCATATAAAGAATCATTACATAAGTTTATTGTATATATATTCAAAGCATGATGCACATTTTTTATTGTGCTATCTAGACATGTTAAAACTTGGCAATTAGGTTTTGTTATCAATTGAAAATTTTTTACTTTGACTTTTAAAGCTAATAAAATTATCAATTGTAAACAAAACATTATAAAACTCAAGTATATTATGGGAATCATTATGAAAATTGATTTTCGCTTAATACACAAAAGTGATTGTGATAATAAAATTTAGAGTTATTTTTATTACACTTTGTTCAATTATTTCCGGCGATCTGCAAAATTGCCAATACTTTGGCAGGTGAGTGTATTTGGAAACATAAAGAGTGGGGAAGAAATGCTATTTTACCGTAATCATTATCATCGTTGGTAAATAATGAATAATATTGTTAATGTTAATTTATAGCAACAATGGCTAATGAATTTATTCGCTATATTTTTAAATAGTAAAATAAATTAAATGTTTCGAATTTTGCTGTGCTCTTGTATAATCAAATTTCATATTCCACCATGATTATTTTTGGCAAGTATTACATGAAAATTATTAATAAATTTAAAAGGACGAATATTATAAATATGTATGTAAAGTTGAAAAAGAAGTTTTGATATAAATAAAACTTTATTATATTAGATCAATTTTAAAATTTCATCTTTAAAATAAAATAAAATGTTAATGATTAGATGTTAAAATTTACAGATAAGTTTACACATGGAAAGCAAAAACTCACCATATACAGAAGTAATTCTTGGCTCTTTCCCAGATACATTTTTTAAAATAATCTTTACATCAAAAACTTTTGCAGCATCTTTTGCAGAAGCATGACAAAATATCTAGGTTTAAAATTTATTAATAAAGTGTATATATATAGATATTTAAATATACATCATAACAAGCGTATGATATTATGCGAAATTCCTTACCAATGTTCCCAAAGTCACTAAAGCTCTATATACCACTTCTGAATCTCTCTCAGATTCTAAAAGCTATCATTATACATGCGTAAAAGTGTTTCATTATCGTTAATATAAACACAATTATTAAAATAACACAATGAATTTCTCTCATAAAATTAAAATACACCTACCTCTACAATCGTAGCAATCATCTGAATAATTAGATTCTCATCTGGACTTGTAGCATATAAAACTGAATAACTATTAAATAAAATTATATTTGAAGTTTTTAATTAATAATAAATAATTATTATATAAAACTCTTATAAAATTCTCTTTCTATAAATTACTTCAAATATATTGTGATAAAAGCAATTTGTAAATTTGTATTTGTGCTCTTTTTCCATATATCAGACATTAATTCAAAAATCTAAAAAATTAAAAAAAAAAAATAATTATAATTAAAAACAAAAAGTTTATGTATACATAAATATTAAACTTACAGCAACAGATTCTTTCCTTATAACATCTCTTCCTTCCTTAGAATCAAAAAGATTGGCAAGAACTTTAAAATATAACATTAAATTGGTCTCCTTTTCTTTTGACAATTGTTCATCACCAACCCATGAACTTATTCCAATTACAGACTCTATAAACTTAACGATACTTCCTTTTTCATCCGAGTATTGTGCGGGAATAGATGTGTAAAGGCTGAGGAGACGTAATAAATCAATTCCTAATATATAAAAATATATATCAATAGTTTTAATCAATAAATAGTAATAATAATAATTCGCTATTATTATTTTTACAAGTTAATTAACTACCCGGGAAAAGATAATGCGATGGCCAAAGAGTAAGGGCTTTCTTAATGATAAGAAATTCTTTCTCTCTTTCAGGTGATGAGGCAAGCTTGGGATCTGGATTCTGTAAAAATTTTGTCAAATTTTCCAAAATAGCAAATTCTTCAGAACTCAATGAAACATCTTTTAACTCATTATTAAATTGATTAATTTTTTTTAATATAGCTTGAAGATTGGCCTGACGAAACGTTAAATATGTTTTCTATACATATTTATAGAGGAAAAAAGACAATCGTTAAAAATATACGATAACATACGGATATATTAGATTATAAAACATACTTGTGGAATTATTTTCTTAGTTTCAGAAGTACCACTGCTAGAGGCTCCTGAACTAGTCCAAGGATCAAGGTAATTTGGCCTAGTGTTCTGTTATTTATTTATTTTATCATTAACAAACTTTAAATAAAATGAATTTTTGCTAATTAAATCAAACATTAAAATCTTAACTCACAGATGGTATTGATGAACTTGAAGTTCCGGGTGTATATCTAGAGCCGCCTATGATTAAATGTGAGTCACCACTTATTATATTATTAAAAGAAATATGAATACAAAATAATTTGAATCGGTACCTGTAAATGGATCGGAGTATTGATTGGCTGTGCCTATTGACACTCCTTGTGCATTTGTTGTTATAAAATCTGCTACCTGATCCAAATAACTTTGTGGAAGTTCATTGGCCCAAATAAATTGTTGTGCTGCTTGGTAAGGATTATCTAAAATTATAAATTAAATTTAAAATTAATAATTTATTAAAACCAACATATAATGATCAATGCATATGTGTGAATATAGTATAAACCTGTGGCATTATATGGAAGTTTTAATGGTGGCATCCCTTCTCCAACATCAACGTCAAATACATAATCATATTCTATTCCATTATATAATTGTTTGCGATTTTGACCGACCGCGTCAACAACCTCTCCAACCTTTTTCCATGATTTACTGGCTTCACTCCACTTTTAAGAATTAATAAAAATAACAAGTCATATAATGCAAATTATTTAAGCACAAAGGAATATTTTTAATAGGTATTCTTTTACCTGATGAGCTTCAACTAAATCACCATTACGAACCATCAATACTTGACCGTCCGTTTCTCCTATTCAAAAAAATTTTTTTTTTTAGAATTCCAAACTAATTAAATATAAACAAATATAAAGCCTTAAAAAACCTGGTCGAAGTAATGCCTCAGATCCGGGAAGTGTTTCTTTATTCAAATCCCCAACTTGATTTCTTATAAAATATCAAGATAATTATCAATTGTCAAATAAATAAATAAACAAACAAAAAGATCATTATTTTTATATACTTTGGAATAGCTTGTTTTGAAATTTTTTCATCAAAATCCTAAATGAAAAAAACATAATAAATATAATGAGTTATCAGAAAATAAAATAATTTCATTTTGAGTTCAAAAATTCTATTATGAATACCTTCAAAACATTTTGATCAGCAATACGCTCTGGTACTCTAGTAAAAACACGAATTATTCCATCACTTGAACCACTGACAATATCACCATTGGGCATTGAAGTAACGCACCATACAGATGTCGCAGGGAACAATATAGTTTGAATACATGTGTTGTCTGTTTTAATAAAATTTAGGAAAAATCAAATTTAAACAAATTTACGAATACACATTTATAAAAT